TTTGCAATTGTCGCGGGCGACGGTCGCGTGTCCTACCGTCACATACCCATAACTGTGTCCACATTTGAAACATTTCCCTGACCCTGCGGTTCTCAATTCACATCAACGATAATACCAATAGCAGTAAAGTAAAACACAGCTTATTCATGCAAACAATGTAATATGAACGTACCAACGAAACCAACGCGAGCGTCACCAGTTTTTGCGACGTCGAAACCTTCACCTCCACCGCCGCCACCTCCTTTGGGGGTGATAAGTTCTTGACGCAATTTGGCCAACTTCGCTTTGAGCATACCCAAGTGAGCATTGGTTGCCTTATTCTTTTGTGTACGGGCCATCTAAAGCGTCAAATGAATGCTAAGTACTCATAAAAGATCTTGCGAGACTATTAAACCCAGAAAACGGTAAAAAAAATCCTAAAACTCCTATGAAAATGGATATGTTCTGGCTCACCTCATCTTCGATGTCCTGAATTTTTTGTAGTATCGACATTTTTGAAGGTTATTGAGTATAAACAAGGCTGCTGTAAAAAGAAAATAAAAATACCAACACTATAACCACATTCAACGCTAAAAAGACACGGGAATAACCGGCAAGCGCGACGCACGACGATGTTATTCAATGAACTGAGAGCAGAGAGTCACTGAAAAAAAGAATGGAAAGCACCTAGCCTCAGGAATTAATGGATATTCATGTGAAAATGAGTTAAAAATAAGTTCCTTTAAAAGCGCAGCGCGGCGTCGCGGGATCGCTATTGGAGCACGAAAACTGATGTGCGTCGAGGGAGGAGAGGGCGGCATGTTACCGTCCGGTACAGATCATCGTTATTGAATCCCCGACAAGTGCGTTCGTATCCAAGTTTCTGAAAATGGTAGTCGCACTTGGTAAAGACCTAAAAAAGTCAGAGCTTCTGGAAAAATGAAGGAGAGGTTCTCATGCTTTGGTGCACTATCGCCTTCCCATCAGCCAAGAAGTTTGTCTGGAAAGTTAGAGCTGAGAGGAGGGACAGAGAAAGGGGTAGAGAAGGGCTTTTTCGCTGAAGAGGGTGGTAGCGGAGCCCGCAGTGAAGAGAGGTCTCGTGTTCGATGACCGATTGTCTATAATGGGTTGAGATAGCTCCGCCATTCCTCATCCGAGATGGTAACATCGCTGCTTCTCATCTCGTGCCACCATGGTTGAGTATTTTCCACAATCGTAGAAAATGAACAATATTTGATAGTATAAGTGATAGTCTTGAACAGCAACGACTAACCCCACCTGCATTCCCCTCGGTAGTTTTTACATTTTTTTTTGCTTTATCAACCTGGTGAGAAGGTCCTTAAAGGTACACTGGCACCGCTACCATCTCACGGCCCGGTATCCAACCGAGACTTCTATTCTTTCCGGTTGCCATGACAGTTCGGTGTAAAGAAGGAGACGCTGACTTTTACTAACACATTATGCGCTAAGCACTTCCTGAGATTCCACCTAGTTCCTGAACGGCGTGGCACATTCTCACAGGGACTGATTACCTATGAACGCCATATTCTTATCGCCCTGGCTTTTGTAGCACTCACCGGTCTATGAAATTTGCCTTTCACTTCTTCAGTGAGCTCTTATTATTATTATAGATCCATTTGTAATCAAATGTGGTTCGTTGATCACTTAGGCGCAGGGGTGTCGGCCGGGAAATTCACGATTTAGCAAACACGTTAGCTAGCTGACTCGTCAGACAGAGTGAGAGGTTGCGGCACCTCTCCCACATTAAATCGTTTAGGTCCTGATTTCGTTTAGGTCGCGCATGTGACGCCGCCAAGCAATACCCTAGGCGGAAAGTGTTGCTTGTTTATCCGGGAGTCCTATGTAAGTTATTATGCATTACAAGACCCCACCACACAAAGGTAATCACGGGCACAATTTACAGTCTGATGAACCGCACAGCTGGCTCCCACTACAGACCGCTTTCAATCAATACCATGGGCCTTTTAGCGTAGTTCTAGATAATGGTAAAATTTAAAATGTCGGTTACACATATAAAGACCAAACTAGTGCGTGAAAAAAGCTGCTGCCGAGAGTTGAGTTCACTCTCTGTAGATCGGAGCACGCGAATGTGTTTCCCGTCAGCGCGATAATTTTTGCGCCTGTGAGCCCACAAAGCGGAGTGGCTGTCAAAAACTTGGATTAACTTTCCAATGGAGATAAAACACAATGTGTAAAAATCATTAGGGCCTTTTCGTAAAGTGCAGTTCAACAAATTTTGCGGCGAGGGAGGGGAAAAGAGGTGCCGCAAGTGGCGCACGTGCGCGACATTCGCACCGGGATCTAATTAATTCGACGTGTGAAGTGTTGCACTGTGTCTAATCAACTAACTAGGAGATATGCCGCCAGTTTGCGTGTTCATAAACTTATCACAAATACCACCAATACGTTTGTTGTGCAGAGCGGAACGAAAAATCATCTGCACTGTTTTTTTTGAGTGTTTTGTCAGCAATTTATCTTCGTTTCAGTGGTGAGGTGTGGTTAAAGTAACTTAAGCAAAACAGATGTGTCCCACCAATTACACTGACCCATCAGATGAAAGTTACGCACGGCGATTTTGTTTTTTGAAGCCACACAGTTCGATGTTGCAAGGAATTCTACGGGTGGGACATCACATCAACCACTGGATCGCCACAAATAACCAAAGTATTAACACAAAACTCAAACATCCATCCCGTTCTATGCCTGCGCGAAATGAAATCGAGTGCAGCCGGCAATGGTCAACTGCTTGCAGGGATTGTTTTGAACCGATATTGCATACGATTGTGGTTTTTTTTTAGATATAATCAGGGCACATTGCCTAGTTGGGGAAATCCCAAATAGAGAGTGTATATGCCGCCAGAATAGGGAGGGTGTCGTTTTCCGAGCTGGAAAAGAATTTGTTTTGATAGATGTATTAAATTTCTCTCGCTTCACGGACGATGTAAAGGGAGGGGTCGTATTACGTTTTGGCGTTGTAGGAGTGGTGGTTGACTTCTGGTGATTTTCCTGTTTCATGCGTACTATTGTTCTCTCCCGCCCCGTCCGCTCAACAGCAAATTTTGGAAGACAGTGAGATTTCGGAGAATTTTGAAAAAAAGTGCAGGCCGTTGGGCGAAATCTGAGAATTGGTGAAAGGGGTCGTATTGTCTAGTTCTTTTTCGATCTTACATGTGTAATTCTGTCAAAGATGCAGCAGCAAGAGCTCATGTGTTTGCGCATTTCATCTCACTTACGCATTTCTCAGAATCAATTTGCTTGCGAGTTAGTTTGTCCGATCGGGATAGTAAGCCTTAGCTCCTCACTCCCTAACCTCAATCAGTAGCCACACGCTCCTCCTCTTCTCGTATTGCAGCGACCTATACGCTAGAAGCGTTCATTCTTGTGCAATGTTAAGCTCCGGCAGCGTCGCCCAGCAGTACAGACACTCAAGACACTAGATAATACCTATTCTTCCTTGGTCGCTCACAACGCTGACGAGAAGTATGGACGAACTTTTTCGCAGCATATAATCCACGGAGCTTGTTGTGACTCAACCTATTTTCTTCCTACCAAGTGCTTCCGTCATACACTTTTCACAATATTAGCATGCAATTTATTGCAAATAATTTTCTAATAAGGTATTATGAGTGGCCTGTAACATACATTCACTCGGTTTATACAAAATGAAAACAAACAACAGAAATATACCGGTAATAAGAAACACGGAACAAACCGATGGTAAACGATGGCACTATGCAACAGGACAAGGGGCCAACTCATGACACACTACGGGGGTTGCACATAGCGCTATACTGGTCAGTAAAACGAGTGAAAGAGTGGCGATTCATACGCCATTTCAAACAGCCGCACTCATTCCGCAGTTGGCAGCGTTGTTGACATCGCCGCTGCCGAGATCGGGCGTCGGTGCTTCTTTTTCGCACTCAGCTTGACGTCTCATTCCAGGCTTCGCTTCATCATCTTGAGTATTTTCCGACTCGGCTGCCTGTCCAGAATCCGACGCATTGAGACTCTGTAACAAAGATCCGAACGTTAGGGTAAAGATATGCTGTAACCTCACCTTCAGGGATCTTGCCATGTGCGAGGTGGATAGGCTCGGATCTGGAAGAACTGTGTCACTTTCACCACCACAAAAGGCGGAAGTGAAGACACCACTCGCTATTCACAACAAGCGGTATGTGCGCCGATTCCGAGGCCGGCGGTACAGTAGGAACAGCTGCCTATCGTGATCAAGGGTAGAGACCAACTAAATCGAAGAGGGCGAGACAAGTAGCGTTTGAGGCTAGACTTGCGCGCATCCCTGGTCGTCCGGTCTGTTGCGCATGACTTTGGCTATGGATTGGGTCCGGAACGACACCTGGCTATCACTACCTTCAGTCTCATTTCAGCGCCCTTTCGAATGACAAAAGTGACACACTTCTACAGCTGCAGAGCCGTTCAGCTCGCACATGCCAAGGATCAGGACATACGGAGGCGAGCGTAAGCTTATCTCCAAACGTGGTAACAAAATTTTCATACT